GAAAAAATGACAGCATTTTGAAAAAAATTTATTTTTTTCTAAAAAATCACTTTTTGTTTTTTATGTACAAAATTCAGTTATTGCGTATATCGAAAGACACGGTAGTGTCTCGAGTGTCAAGTCAACCGAACACTACCGTGTGACTACGCGAGTCGGCGAGATGCGAGCATCCGAAATTATTTGATCTGATAACGGCTAAACCGATCAAGCTTTAAGTAGGTTTGATCGATAGCTTGAGTTCGACTTGCATAATAAAAGTATTTTTATTTTTCTTCTACGTGCCCTATAAGTGGAGATATTGCTACGCAAAGTTCGATTTGGAAATTTTTATTTTAAGAAACATCGTCATTATTATAGTCGTCGTCGCCCGGTTCTCATCTACAGTTGCAATTTCTGTCACGGAGGCGCTATTGTGCTCAAATAGATTCAATGTACACGGCGGGACTGGTGTCTGTGCGCTCGGCGCGCGGCCGCTAAACATACACACGAAGCGCGTACGTCCGTCTCCACGGAGCACAAAGGAGATCGCGGAGCGGAGGGGAAAAATAGTAGGAGCAATTCGATGTTGCATCCTTAACGCGAGACGCACGATTGAGAGAGAAAGCATAATTAGATGTGATATCGATTTCGGTGTCCTTCTTGTTTCACACGTTCGACACTAATGCGAGTGAGAGACCGCGGTGTCTCTATATGTCGCGTTTTTCTTTCTTTTCCTCTCAGTCTGATTAATTATTGATTATTCAATGAATATTTATTTATTTAATTGATTATTAAAACATGATTATTAATTATTTAATTATCGCGTAATAATTTATTTATTGTATATTTTAAAAAAAGTTATATGTAAAATTACAACTATTATTGCGGGTTTAAACATTGAATGTCTTATAGCTATCTCAAGCAATCGATATTAAAAATTATTTTAAAAAATAATTCGCGAAACTGTATTCAAAAATAAGGAAGATTATATTCAATAATAATAAAAAGTCATTAGTAAATAAAAATGTGAAAATCAAAATAAATATTTTCGAAATGAATACTATGTTGTAAATTTAAAATTTGAATTTACAATAATGTAATTATAAAAAGTATTATTTCTATACATTTACATTTACATTGTACATGTAATTCTACAATCTTATAGCACAAGAAGTTTATTTGCACATTTTAAAATTGCAAATTTAAAAATGCGCATACAATACTGTTACATAGGTCTTCAAATTATCTGCAATGATAGTTGTAATTTTACACATAATTT